TTATCAGTAGATACAGCAAAAGTGTCTTATAATGTTTAATATCGAATTATGCAAAAAGCTGTTCAAAAAATCAGAAGGGAGTGTTCTTAACATGATAAAGAATATTTACAAATAACCTACAGCAAATATTACAGTGGTGAAATATTAAAAGCATTTTGTTTCTTGTTAAGATTGAGATCCATTATGTTTGGCAGTATTGCTTTTGACAGTTGGTATTATACTCTGTCCTATGTTTTTCCGTATAGCTTCATGTCATGAGCATTTCCTATGCTCATTTACAAAGTTTTTGCAAATGCAGTGGTTAATATCTACCCTACATAAGAAATGATGCAGTGAATATTTTTTGTGTATTCATTTCTGTCTGTATCTTTAATTATTTCTTGTTGATGTATTTCCAGCTGCTGAATTGCTGAACCAAAAGGTATGAACTCTTTCAAGCACTAGACACATACTACTATATACTTGAAACCAGCCCTTTCAAATGAAGCAACCATGTGTCTTTGGAGGGTGATTGTATCTCACTGCTTAACTTAGCTCAGAGCATTTTCAGCTCCTGATCGCTTTAAAGAAAAGAAAACAGACCAGGAACTTGGGGTTTAGTGGTGTCCCCTGTGAGCCTTAAAAAATGAACAAAGTCCCCTTTTATTTCTTCCTCTGTGTGTACATAGCTGGGAGGTGGGCTAGCTCTGGAATTAGGCTGTTTGCAGAGCCTTTTAACAACCAGTTTGGCAGTGCTTGGAAACCTGTAGGGAGTGGGGGAGGGAAATTATGATGGGGGAAGGGAGGACAGTGACCTGGCCCGTCTGACCCAGGCCTCTGAACTGCTTTGGAACCTGTTAGTCTAGGCCTTGGCCAGAGGACAGGAGCCGTGGTCTCTCCCAGCCCATCCCTGCACTGTGCAATTCTCTTGATTTGTTTGTCTCAACGTTAGTGCAGAAGTGTGAGAAGAGCAGATGTCCTTGAAATTGCAGCTTTTAACTGGACTGTGTTTGAATTCTCAACCTTGAGGGAGACCTTGGTGCAGAAATTCCCAAATGTGTTGTGTCAGAGGCTGTGAGGTGCAGGACACAGTTTGGGGACCTTTTTCCTTGTGCCTTCCTGTTTCTAAGAACTTACTGTTTTATAAATATTACTGTCAGAGCCTATTAATTATGTCTTTTGTGTCTCAGGGAGGCTTAAAGAGAAGGAAATTGGCACTTCTCTGTACGAGTTAAAGGCTATACTAATGGGAATTAACTCTGTAGTTTCTCAAGGCTATTTTAATCTATAATTAAAGATGAATGGTTTGGGATATTAGTGGGGGGGGGAGTTGCCCATAGTCCTTATTAGCGAGCTCAGAGAGGGAGAGAGCATCTCACTCACCACCACCCCGTTTTGTTCACAGATGAGGCCGCCCAAGCACGGGCGTGAAGAGACGCACCTGAGGCAGTTGAGTTAGAGGGAGACCTGGGCTGCAGCTCAGGTGTCTTGACCACTGGTCCTTTTCCCCTTGCCCCTTGATGCCTTACTGCATCCCATGAACTAGTCACTCCTGTTCCAACAACAGGGGGAGTTGATGCACTGCTTTAATTTCTGGCCATAGCCTTCTTCCCTGTTGTTAGCAATTTGGAAAACACATGAGCCCCTCAGACAGTTTTCACAATGGCATCTGGCTCGAAAATTTGGCCCTGGTGTTTCTGAACTTAGTCCAAGTAGCTCATGCAAATTTTACTGCAAAGAAAGTGCCGCCGTTTGATACTCAAAGGACTGACATTTTGCTCAGATCCCCTCCAATGTGTTTACTCCAAAGGCTCCTGCCGGGGGGGACAAGGTAAGTATTCTTTGAATAAGTGAGGTTTAGTCAACTCTTCTTCTCCTGTCTCTTCTCCTTCATTGGCCCACGGTGGGGATGGGTTGAGTAGTGGAGGTGGGAAGAATTAATCTTGGTTATCTTGAGTAATACAACCGTAGGCTCTTTCTGTAAGGAAGCAGAGTGTCAGGGAGGCTAGAAAGAGTGTAACCCTAGGACTGGGACAGTGGATTTGGAGCCAGAAGTCATGAATTTGCAATCTACAGTTTCCTATTGGCCTCTTTGAACTCATGCTTAATAAAGCGTGACTTCCAGGGCTATTGTAAAGTCCAGACAAGACATGAGTGGGAATATTGTATAACCCACAAAATAGTTTACGAATAATGAATTATTTTTAAGAAAGAATCTAAACTAATGGGAGTGAGAGTGCTGGTTTTTATGGTGGAGGGGTGCCAGAGGAGAATGGGCTGTTGGGGGGAGTAGTCACAGAGGAAGAGGTGGAGACAGTCAGCATGTAGTAGACAAATCCCTGTACTTAAAGATAAAAATATAAGTACATATGTTTTCTGCCTCCGAAAGTTCTCTTTTAGGACTTTCTTTTTTTCCTTTAGCATAGTGTTAGAACTCCGATTTACATACACAAACTTGAGTAGTTTGCCTTTTATTAAGCTATTCAGGTGGCTTGAACAGGTTTGTAGTGTTCCACGAAACTCATGCTAAAGCAGTGATATGGATTTGCCTCACACGTGAAAACAGCTTTCTTGCATGCTTTGGCTTTACTGCACAGCTGTCTCATCCCCTGCTTCATTCAGCCCTTCTAACTTCAGTCATTATCTCCACCTCTAGTATCTCTACATTTTGAAATCATTCGCTCTGATTCTGGAAGCCAGAGTGGACATGTCCCCCTCCAGTCTCTGACTGGAGGGGATCTAGGAAATAGGGCATATAACGGAGGAGTTTCTGATGTTTACGGAGGGCCTGTGATGTGTGCCCAGCTCAGGTCTGGCACTCAGAGGCAGCTTATTGCCTGCCCTGCAGCAGCAAACAGACACCAGGGGAGGTAAGACATGCTAGTAATGAACCAAAATAGGGAGCACGCAGCCTGGAGACCGTACGGTTCAGTTACTCACACCTTTGTGTCTGGCTCAGCCATTTAAACTCAGTCGCCTCTTCTTAAAAACACCTACCCAGCAGAGTTTGGAATCCAAAGATAAGGTTTCAAGTCCCATTGCTACTTTTCCTCGAAGCATGAGTGAGTCACTTATTCTGACATCCTTTTCTCTCCTTCTTTCATCTGGCTAAAAGGAATGATCAAATGATAGTCAGGGATGTGCTTGAATTTTTTAAATTATATACAAATGCCCTTTATTATTTGATTTTCTGATTCCACTGTCGTCCTTGGATTGGTAATGAACAGAGAGGGCAAAATTATGACACATGAAGCTGTAATTATGATCAAGTTAGAAAGGAAAAATTAGCATGAATAGAGTTCTCCTTAATTCCATGTAACCTAAAATAGTTCTAATATAAATCATGAATACACTTTTGTAGGAAATAGTTACTATTGTTAGCACTGGAAATTATTTCTGATTCTTGAGAAAAGGCATTCTTATTAAAAACATGTCTTCAACACTGAATACGTAAATATATGTATAGATAAGTAAATGCACAAACAAGACTGGAATGATACACCCCGAAGTGGTCATTCCAGGAAAGGGACATGAAATGAGAGAAGAGAGAATTTTCTGTTTCTTTTCTTTCTTTTTTTTTTTTTTCAAAGAGAGGATTTTCACTGAAAAAAAAATTTGTGATCAATTTTAATATTTGAGTTTTTTTTAAATCGATGAGCATATATATCTATATAACTAAAATGTTTTTTAAAGAAATCTCTGTCATATGCAGTATTGGGTGGGGAAAGAGCAGGGAGGGTTGTCTCCATAGTCATCTGTTTTCTGTCATATTTTAGAGTTGGTTACCCTGGGTGATGTTATCTCAGTGAGATGGGGCTCACCCTTCGCCTAAGGGGATGGGAGCAGGGGCCAGAGTTAGCCGGATGGGGGTAGGGTAAGAAGAAGGGGGAGTCAGGCATGGAGCCAGAGAAAAGATCGGGCAGGTTGCAGTTAGAGGAAGGAGGGATAAGACTTAGGTTTAGGGAATGAAGGGGAAGCTCTGGCAAAAGCTTTAGGAACCTACACCATTTGTGGTTCCATTAGTGAATAGACCCAGCTCTGGTCATCCACTCTTTTCAGTACCGCCTCCATCCTGGAGTGCCTTTACAAGACTCGAGATTGCTTTCAGAACGTGATGACAAATTGTTTCCCACCTGTGGGTTTTCCTTTGTGCCAGCCTTGCCTGGTTTTGCCTGGCTTTATTCTGTGACCAGAAGAGAAGCTGGAATTCTGAAAAGTTGCTTCAGCCCATTCCCATGAACAAAGGGAGCCTTGTTCCGGGTTATGCACATCAGCTTTTGGAGGAGTTGAATTCATCAGCTCAGATCTCTGCTTTTCAAGTCCTTGCTCTGGTTAGCACTGTGCTTCTCTGTCTGTGCAGGGCCAACCCTCACGGAGGAGCAGGCCTGCTCCTGGTTCACTGGGCTCTGGTTACACCAATAAGGTCAGCCCGGGCAGAGGCAGGCCTTAGTGGTCCTGGATGGACACCCACGCTGAAGCCACAAGAGGGTCGTAAGCTTTGTTCCTGTGTGTGCCTTTGCCTACAGCTATGTGGATGCCCATACAACTTCTGAGATTTCTATAAAATGATCATGTATGTAGTTCACCAGAGTGGTGCTAACAATGGGAATGACCGGTCACCCTTCTGTTGTCCCATCTACCCTCCTGCAACAGAAATTTCTGAAAAGTTACTAGCACAGACTGGTTTGAGTCCTGGCCGACTGTGAGCGAGGCCTCGAGCACATAAACTAATCCTGAAACTGGTTCCCTGATGGTGGGTTGATCTTTTCCCCTCCAGGGCAGTGGTAACTTTGAGCCCTGTAGGGAGCTATTTGAAAAAGCTCTTGCTGTGGTATGTTGTAAATGACCTTTTACTACCTGGGAAGTTTCTGGGGACCTGGGGGGTCCCGGCTCCTTGTGTGGAGAACCGTGAGCCCCGTTTGCTGCCCCCTAATGCCCGGAGGCTGACGGCATCCGGTGACCCATGTGGGTGTGTGGCTGCCGTTGGCTTCATCTTGGTCTGATTCTGTTTCCCTTGACAGGGCAGTTTGGGTTTGATGCTGTGCCAGGAATCTTCTGACAATGAGTTACTGGAACTTGGAGAAAAAGAACAGCGTGCAGTACCGCAGGCACTTCCTGGTGGACAACAGCCTGTTTCATGGTGAGCTGCGTTTTGTCTTCCCGTCCTTAGAGCTTTAATTTTGTTTCTGATAGCACTTTTATCCCAGCACTCTGGATGCAAATAGGCGATAATTGTTGGGCTGAACCAAGAGCTTGAGTTCACCTGTTGATGAAAAAGTACCCAAGAAGCCCCACGGGACCCGTGTCCCACAGCTGGAAGCAAGCGCCCATCCGGACGACTGTGATGGTGCCATCACCTCCTACCTGGCAAGTTAGTTTGTGTCAGTGCTTTTCCTCTTCCACTGCACCGTCGGCTCCAGTAGTACCCCTTTCTGATGTTTGAAATTTGGGGAGCTAGAGCCATAGGTAGTGTTTGGTTAATACTGGTGGCTCACCAGTCAGAGCTTATTACCAGCATGCTGTGTCCCTTCTGTCAGACTCTGGATAAAAACAGAGCAGGTCACAGCAACAAACCATAACTATCTGGATGGATTACTGCAGCTGTGTATCAGAGAATCATCAATATTAGTCATTTTCATGGCAAACTAAGACGAATCGCCTTTACCCTGATGGTGTATTTGTTTTGTGAGGCCGTCAGGGATCAGCTCTGTCAATGCTGATATCAGGATGCCCTTGAATGAAATTTACTTACGAGTCAGAGATTTATGTGTTGCCAGAGTTTTTGGACTAATCTCCATCAAAAGCTGGTGGAATTGTAGAGGGAAGCGAGAGATTTCACAGGGAGTGGAGTGCTGTTTAACAGAATCCTGTAATCTTAGCTGCCTTCGACTTTCTAAGTTTGGTTTTTCTTTCCCAATTTAGAGACAGACTTAATGTTTTTTATTGCTTCAGATTAAGTTTAAGATAACAAACTTAACCCTGTTTACTTTGTTAAAGCACGTTGTGCTGTGTTTTTCTTGTTCATGATACCTCCTCACTGTAGGACTTGACTAGTTGGAGGATGGCTTCATTTACAGGTCAAGAAAGGGAAGTTGAGATGAAATGACCAGCCCAAGATGACACAGCCAGTTGTTAATAAGGTCAGATCTAAAATGCCAGCCTCTACCTTTCCGGGCCGGCTCTCTTGGCATTGCAGTGGTAAAGGCCTCTTAGCAAAGGAGACAAAGTATTGACTTAACACTCTGAGTTCTACTTTGTTTTCCTGTGAATCTCATCTGACAGCGTTTGCTGTGTGGTATCTTCTGTTACAAATTTACTTGTATTAAAAAAGAATAAATGTGATAATCAAAGAAACATAGGAATTAGACAGATCAGCTTTAATTTGCCAAATTTTGTGCGAATTTTGAACAAGGTCAGATGGAGGTGCCTCCATTCATCATTTTAGAATCCCTGTGTCCCAAGATCTCAAAGGCTGTAACAGCTTACAAACAACTTCCTATGTATTCTTATAGTTGTGTTACCACTTAGTGCATCACTGGATTGCAGGTATTTATGCCGAGGGCTTGAAGAACGTTGTCCTATTAAATCCTTTCAACACTTTTGCAATTGTTACTATTCATCCTACTTTATAGATGGTTAAACAGAGGCTTGGGGAGGTTGTGAAGTGATGTAAAATCAAACTCACATCTGCTTAACTCCAAAACCCCACTATTTTCTTCCAGGCTCCACCCCCATTTCAGGAGAGAAATTAACACTCTGAGAGGTTTAAGTTCTATTCAGCAGTATTTGCTCTGCTATCAACTAGCAGTGTCTGATCTTTACCAAGTTGTATAATCCTTCAGGATCTGTTTTCTCCTCTGTGAAGTGAGTGTCCTGGGCTCAATGATTTTTGAGGTTCTTTCTGGTTCTAGTCTATGAAATTACATTGAAGTATTTCTGTGAAGCACAATGACTACATATTTTGCGAGCTGTCTTGTCACTAAACGTGAGGTACACAAGGGGGCAGTAGAATACTTAAAATATGAGTTGGTTACTTCTTACATTCAAGAGTTACTCTTTTGAGAGGATTTAGAGATATCAAATCTTCCCAAGATTAAAAGTATTAAAGCCAATTAGAATCATGATTATATTCACTTATGACAAAGCAATAGCTTTAAGTCTCTCTGATAGTGTAAGATACCATTTTGGATCTCCGTGCCAAAGGATATGTAATTTGGGAAAGTATGATGCTTCTGCTCTTCCTCTTTGTTTACCTCTGCAGAAAATTAATGTCTGTTAAGATAGGAATTTATTTAACTTAATGGAGAGGTGTGAGGAGTTGAGGTATACTTTAAGCCAAGGGAGTGCTAGTGACAATAACTTTGCAGAGGATTTCAGAACGTTTCTGAGCGAGTAGAGGGGACAGGACCCCTCTGGGTCAGAAATGTCAGATTTCTTTTGGAGGACCTTCTTGTCTGCCAGTAACTCTTCTTACATAACCAAATCAATCGAAATAAAAAGAAACAAAACCCCTTCCATTAGAAACAGGAAAGAGCCATTTCCCCTGCAATATAATAGACTTTTAGAATATGCAGCCTTGAATGGGCAAAATGTGCTAGACTTAGGCAGTATTCCCAGGAGAAAAAAGCTACGTTAAAGTGAGGACTAGGTGGGCTTAAGTGGTCAATAAAAGGGTAAAAATAAAAATGTAACATTTGTATACTCTTCGACAGTTCATAAAGCATATTCACTTTCTGAGTATGCAAGAGGTATGTTCTCATTGGAAACAATTTTGAGAATTACCCACACACTCACAACCCAAAGAGAAACACTAGTTCTCTGTTTCTGTCCAGTCTCTTACCTACTCTTTCATCTTCATAGCAATCCTGACGTAGGGATGGAGCATCTGGGAAAGGTTGGCAGTGGTGAATGCTGGCCACCAGAAAGGAGCTGCTGGAATTGACTTAATTCTGTGTCAGTGAGGAAAGGACCCCTGTAGGAATTATGATGGGCTGGTTTTGTGTTTCCCACTTGTCTGTCCTTTACCTAGATTTTTAGGGAACCTGTTGAAGTCAAAGGGATTGTGTGCCTATCAAAGAAGCCAATTGCTAGAGTTTTTCTCTAGTTGACTTTGTTCTAATATGTTTTCATAGAGAAAAAAACTTGGGCAAAGAATGATTTCTGTAGTATGATCTTTGCTTTAATGGCTTATATTTTCATGAATTATTATTACTTGAAAATTACCTCTACCCTCGGCTCTTTCTCTTGGTTGTCACGCATTGCAGCACTTTTTTCCATCCTAGGACACAGATTCTTATACCAGTGATCAGTGGATTTGCAATTAATACACACTATTTCTAATGCATGTAAGCTTTTTCAAACATTGGAGTTCCTTAGTGTAATATACTTGGAGGTGGCAATTTTTGTTTTCATGCATTGATAGTTATAATTGTGATGTTGGAAAAATTGTTTTCCTGCACGTTATTATGGTATCACCCCACTTCATGATGAAATTTATTTCTGTTGTTATCATGTTGTTACATGAATGTTTCTGAATGACTGTCATAAATCTAGACTAGAAATTACAAGTATCTTTCACTATCTAGGGATAAAATTAAGGATTTTTCTCATATTAAATGTTTATGTAGTATGTGTTTTTAAAAAGTGCCTTCTGTGTACTTTTACTTTGCCTCTTAACAACCTTCTAAGGAAACTAATCAATTGATTTAATTAAATAATTACTTTTCCCCCAGCCTTCCCTTCCTGGCCAGAGGCCTCGTTGGTGATATGAGGATAGAAACTGGATGGCCGGTGTGAAGGAAGACAGGCTGGGATGGGATCCTGGAGACTAGCTCTGTCTCCAGCTTTACTACTCACTGATGTAGCCTTTGTCACCTAGGGGACCCTCAGTTTCCCTATTTCTCAAATGAGTCTTTTTCCAGATTCCAAAGTTCCTTCTAGCAGAAACGTGGCAGTCTCCGTGTAGTCGGGCAGGACGTGGGGTGAACGGAAGGGCCCTAAGGCCAGAACGCGGGGTGGGAAGCCTGGCTAGATGGTGAGGAGGAGGGGTGAGAGTCCTGTTTGACTGTAAACTTTGTAGCTACCCTTGCGCTGGCAGAAAGCTCCATTTCCCCTTTAGGGAGAGGTGTGTGTGTGTGTGCAGGGACCTCCTGAGTCCCTCCTGACCATGCAGAGAGCAGGATCGAGGACTGACAAGCTTTCAGGACAAATGTCATGATATTCAAAAAAGGAGTGGAGAAGTTGCCCCTCACTGCAATTCCGTCCTCACTGGAAAAAGAAAGAAGAATGCCAGATCCTGCCTGGTAAATATGAAAGGAGAATGAAATTATGCAGGAGTGGATTTAGGCCAGTTTATTAGCAAGTTATGAGTTCAGCAGCCTGCCTGCTGTAGGGGTTTGGGACATTACTAGATTTCTTATTAGAGCGTCATTCCTTTACTGAGTCAAAGCCTGGTTTTTCCAGCTGATGATGACTGTATAAACATCCTCTTCTAAGTCCAGGAAAATACCAGTGCACAGAGAATTCCTACTCATGCAATAATAGTCAAGATTTTGTGAGCATCATTAAGATCAAAAGTATTATCTCTTGGAGAAGAACACTGCATGGAAAAAATTTCAAAGACAAATTGAGAAACGGCAGGGTGGGGAGATAGATCTTAAAGGGAGAGAAGATACTTGAGTCATTTAAATGTTATAAGTTATAATAGAACTAATTCTGGAAGCAGCTTTGCCCAGTGGATTTCCACTTGAGCCCCACACTCAAGTCACCCCACTGTGGCCACCAGGCAGAAAGCATGGAGGGCAGGTGTCTTTTCTGATCTATGATGTTCAGGTGCATCTTGCAAACATGCCAGAGGTGCAGTGAAGGCTCGGCTAAGGGAGGCAAGGCCTGACCCAGCTGTGGCATCTTGCAGGGGCCACCCTCCTGCAAGGTTGCTTTGGGTGATTTGTTCCCTTTGGGACTAAGTTTCCATGTCAGCCAAGAGATTTGATTTAGGACACATGACCTCTAAACTTCTTTCTAAGTGGGAAAATTTCAAGAAATGCTTGCTTCTCTACTTCCTCTCCTCAGGCTACTTTTAAACAGAGGCTGATTGGGGAGTTTGCTGCGAACTGACTGACCAAAGTGATTTCTGTCCTT